TCACCTGTCACTAACAGGTGTGGTCTCACCTGTCACTAACAGGTGTGACCTCACCTGTCAGTATCGAGGTGTGGTCTCACCTGTCACTAACAGGTGTGGTCTCGCCTGTCACTAATAGGTGTGGTCTCACCTGTCACTAACAGGTGTGGTCTCGCCTATCACTAACAGGTGTGGTCTCACCTGTCACTAACAGGTGTGACCTCACCTGTCAGTAACGAGGTGTGGTCTCACCTGTCACTAACAGGTGTGGTCTCGCCTGTCAGTAAAGAGGTGTGGTCTCACCTGTCACTAACAGGTGTGGTCTCACCTGTCACTAACAGATGTGGTCTCACCTGTCACTAACAGGTGTGGTCTTGCCTGTCAGTAACGAGGTGTGTTTTTGTTTCAGAGGATCTCATTGGTCAGCAGCTTCGCTGCCTCGCTCTTCCTTGGTGGTTACGCAGCAATCGACTACAGCGATGGTATGGACCGATCAATCGGCTGATCGATTACCTCATCCACCGTTTGATCACCCCTCTGATTGGTCCATTGTTCAGGTTCTGGGATGAATCTGCTGGACATCAGGAACAAAACATGGTCTGGTGTCTGCCTGGAAGCCTGCGCCCCTCATCTTGACCGACTGCTGGGACCTCCTCTGCCGTCCACATCTGTGCTGGTAAGACCGGTCTGTCCCAGGTCTGCTGGTCCGTACTGGTCCCGTGTTGGTCTTGACTGGTCCATCCTGGTCCTGTGGGGTGTTCCAGGGTCCGGTCTCATCCTACTTTGTTCGTCGATACGGTTTCTGTGAGAGTTGCAGGGTTGTGGCGTTCACTGGCGATAATCCAGGTAGGAAATTACTAAACTATCAATAAAACCTGAAAGCTCAGCAGTCCAACGTGTTCCTGTGTCTGAGGTTTTCACCGGCACACCAGATAGTGCTGGTGGTTCAGGTCCTGTTTGTTTGTGATTCTTGTTCGAATCCAACTCTTTTTTTCAGCATCTCTGGCAGGAATGAGGCTCCAGAGGGGCGATGTGGCTGTAAGTTTGTTTGTGCTTCCTTGTTGTTGTTTGTGTTTCCTTGTTGTTGTTTGTGTCTGACCTGTTTGTGTTGTTGTAGGTGAGTTTAGGGACCAGCGACACGGTGTTCCTGTGGATCCAGGAGCCCCGGCCGGCCCTGGAGGGCCACATCATGTGCAGCCCGGTGGACATTCAGGCCTACATGGCTCTGCTGTGGTAAGAACTCGCTCCAACCGGATTAGAACCATGTGACAGCCTCAGCTGTTCCTGATGTTTCTTTTGGTTCTGGTTCTGGCTCAGCTTCAAGAACGGATCTTTGACCAGAGAACGGATCAGGAACGAGTGCACCAGAGGATCATGGGAAGTTTTTTCTGCTGCACTGAGAGAGACGCCGCTCGGAAACAACGGAAACATTGGTAAGGATGACTTTTGTCCTTCTGTCTGTTTGTCTTTGGGCTTTTATTTTGATGGTTTGTTTTTCAGGCTTTTATTTTGACAGGATGGAGATCACTCCTCCAGCTGTGGGCGTTCATCGCTTCGACTCAAACGACTCAGAGGTCAGAGGTCAAGTTCTACTGAGCTGGAACATTTCTGAACATGACATCACACCTCACCTGTCCCACCTGTCCACAGGTGTCCCACTTCTGTCCTCAGGTGGAGGTCCGGGCCCTGGTGGAGGGTCAGGTTCTGTCCAGGAGGCTCCATGCTGAGAGGCT